TACTTCTCCTACTACTACTACTACGACGACGACGACGACTACTACCTAATTTATGAAACCTAAGACTTGATTCCAATAAAGTATCCTACTAGTAAGCAAAACAAGGAACAAACGGAACAACAGCAGGGCGAGGACGTGGCCACACACGTTCCCCCAACTGAACTGGATCTACGAGCTTGTGAAGGCTCAAGGACGGGGTAGGCCCGAAAAACCCACAACCCAAGACCCAAAGCTCAACACTGGACATTGGAACTCTGGGCCGTAACCGGGCTGCCAGGCTTCTAGTCCAAACGCGGGCACCAAACCCAGGCCCTGACCGGGCCGCCTCCTGGTGCAACGGGGAGGAGCCGAGGTGCCCAGCGCTTTGGGTACCGGCGGGTACCGTGCCGGCTTTCGTGTTTGGGTCCGGAGATTTTTGTGATTTTTACGTCGGCATTTCTGTAACCACATGTTTTTGTTCTTCACGTTCAGAAGGCCTTAAAGAATAGCAGCGTTGGCCCCGAGGCGTGCAGTAAGTGTTTTTGTGGGACTTGAGCGGTACAACGTTGGGTATAGTGGGAACGATTGTGGTTGTGCTGCAGAATTCCAGGTTTGCTGCAAGGAAAATCGTGCTTTTGAGCTTGAGTTAGCTCAGTCCCAGCCTGCAGGAAGTATGCGACCTTCAGCAACATGAACGCCATGAGGCCTGTTGAGTTTATGCCGACGTGATGTCGTTCTCTCCCTCTCCGGCTCTCCACTCGCTGCCTCCCCCTTGCTGCAGCAGGGTCTCGGAGCACGTTGCCAGGCAGATCCAGGCAGTGCCACCGACCACCCCACGTCAGTGCCACCGACCACCCCACGTAACGAGTCCGTGATCGACTAAAGTCTGAAGCACTGCTTCGTTGGCGTCGGCTGCATCACAGCCCGGACCCTTCAAACCGGTTCGGGGCGCCGCACCACAACGAGCGAGATGGCTCGGGCGAAATGCACCTTCACCTTTCGCAGAAGAGGCAACTGCACGAGATTGTGCCAGCAGATACCTTGGCGCGAAACTTGATGACTACCCGTGTGGCACCAGTAGTTGGGCATCAACTTGGAGGAAGAAGCTGCTGGTGTCTGCTTTCAACATGAAGCATGACACAAGCGGTTCAAATCAGGCTGCTGCAAGCCCTGTCCACCGGCAAATCCAGCGGCGACCAGGCGTCCTGCAATCGGATCCATGACACGAAAGCATCTACACACAGAGTTGGCACACCCAAGGTTTACCGACCTCCAGGATGCCAGAGAAAGTAATCCAGGAGGCTGCAGGAAGCGCCCCCCC